AATCAAGACAGTGTAAAGTATTGATAGTGGCACATAAATTGAGAAAAATTTAGAGTCATGAATGTTTATAGGTTAGTCAACCAAAAGAAGTAGAAAAAGGCAATAAAAGTTAGAAACCAATGAAACAGAAAATAAAGATACCACAGATATACTAAAAAATTAATAGTTTTCTTAAAAAGTAGAAAAACAGGCCAAGCGTGGTGGCTCACACTTGTAATCCCAGTGCTTTGGGAGGCTGAGGAGAGCAGATCACCTGTGGTCAGGAGTTTGAGACCAGCCTGGTCTCAAACTGTGAAGACACCCCGTCTCTACTAAAAATACAAAATTAGCCGGGTGTGGTGGCTCATTCCTGTAATCCCAGCTACTCAGGAGGCTGAGGCAGGAGAATCGCTTGAACCTGGGATGCAGAGGTTGTGGTGAGATGAGTTCGCACCACTGTACTCCAGCCTGGGCAACAATAGCAAAACTCCGTCTCAACAACAACAAGAAAAAGTAAAAAAAAGACAAAAACAAACACACACACACCCCTCTCATAAATGAAAAATATTAGCAACACGAGGGGACATCATTAGAAGAGAAGAGATTTAACATATTATTGGAGAATCCCATAAATGACTTGACGACAGTAAGTCAGAAACCTTGGACCAAACAAATTCTTAGAAAAATATTATGATAGAATGCTGTAGAAGAAATAGCAAGCTTGTGTAGCCTAATAAGCATAGAAATAAAATTAGTGTTAAAATTATCACAAAAAATATACCATCCCAAATGATTTTGTCAGCAAATTCTATGTAACTTCGAAGGAAAGGATTCCCATTATTTTGCATTTTCCAGAATATGGTAAAAAATAGAAATACACTAATCCCACAAGACCAGGAGAAGCTTGAAGCCAATCTCAGCTGTTATTAATTATTGTGAATAAGAATGGAAATTAGCTGGTTATGGGATTGACACATAAAATTCTATTTCTTTACATGAACAAATGAAAAACAAAAGTTGCAAAAATATGTATGCCATTTACAATGACAATAAAATTACAAGAAAACTCTAACAAAATTTGTGCAAAACAAGACTGGAGAAAACCAGCTAATTTTGTTGAAAGCTTTAAAAAATGATGTAACTAAAAATAGTTATCATGTTCATGAATTTAAGGCTCATACTATAAATATTTCTTACTCAAACATATTTATAGATTCAATGACTTGTCAATAAAATTCCAAAAAGACTTTGTAAGATGATTCTCATTCTTATACTGAATACACTAGACCAAAATTTGCCAAAAACATTCCAAGAACACAAGGTGTTTATGTGCACGAGTTGCTCTGCCAGGTGTCAAAACCGATTATTAAGCAAAGGGTAGTGTGTGATTGGCCAAAGGATAAAGAAATTGATCAGTGGAACAAAACAGAACTCTTAAAAACAGATCCATCCATGAAATCTGGTGTCCATTGTCATTGCAAGTGTGCAGTAAAATGGGTCATTTAATTCAAAGTTATGTTCTGTGGCATTTTCTGTCAGTAAATTGAGCATTCTGTCATTCATCTGAGGTGGTGCTTGCAGGGGAACAGGGTGCAGTAAGGCAGACTCATATCCTGAGTGTTAGTTCTGGCATGAATGAATCGCTGCCCCTACGGGATCGAAGACACTGGATGTATTAGATTTTCCATGAGGTGACTGACTGTCCTCTTTGCATAATGTTATGTATTGAGACCTCAAGTTTGGGCTCTGCTACTGACAGGGCTGAACATTCAGGAGCAGGAATGGGTAGCTGAGTCTTGGCATGAAGAAACCGAGGGTACCTGGCTTATTCATAACCACCACTTCTCTCATCATAACTACTCCATTTATGTGGCCACTGTGGAAGACAGGATCGAGTCTGCCTGCTATTTGCCCCTAAATGCATCCTGTCTACTTAGCTGTTGAAGGCTTCCTTTACTGATATGTATTGATTATGCCTACACTCTTGGGTCTTCCCTCTATTTTCCTCCTCTTCATTTCCAATCTTTCAGTGTGGGTACTACTACTAGGCCCTTATTAATCAGTAAAGCAAATCGTTGCTACTGCCAAGAAATGCATACATCTTCTTATCTTAGGTTATTTTTCTCTCCCTACAAAAAACATGACCGAGAATGTCTACTGCCTGTGGCTCTACAAATTGATTTTCTTCTCATTGTTCTTTGAGGTCATTTCTGAGCAGGCCTGTAGTACAGTATCAGACCAATTCTGTCTTTGCCAACATGTTGAGCTAACCTACTTCTGGAGGAAGACTTTTATTTTCTTTTTGGTTCATTGTTAGGCAGCTTTAGAGAATGGCTAAGAAGGCTCTGCTTGTGGGTGGGACACCCATCAACACAAAAAATGTTGGCAATATGGAGATCTGAGGCTTCTGTTCTTGTAATTTTGAGGGCCATCTGGAAATGCTCAGGACAAATTCTGAATGTAAAACTCACATTGTATGATGGATTGTGACTGCACTTGTCCAACTTTGTAACTTGGTGAGTCTGACAATACTCAACTCATTAGGTAGTTCCAGTGGTTAGCACTCTCTGTCTGCTAGGGCTGGGTAGTGTGCCAGAAGTTGCTTTTCAAACACCAGACAGTAACTTGCTTCAGAACTCTTGTGTTCTATGCAGTGACTCATTTACTGGGGATGACCAGAGGCTTTATATTAGTACATTATCCACCACAGATCCCTCTAGCCCCATTGGATCTGCCAGGTCATATAGTCTGGGCCTGTGACAAAGTTCTCTCTCATTCTATGCACTTAAAACTGGCAGCCTCTGAGTCACTTCATAAATGATCAGAGCACTTTGTGCAAAAATGGTTTATGCTACCACCAAAATACAGAGAAAACTACTAAGCCTGTGGCCTTGTTTCTCTTGGTGATAAAGAATGTATGGTTCAATAACTAACCCTTCTCCTTAGATAGAATACCACAGCATGCTCCAGATTAATGAAATCTTGTGAACAGTAAGAAAGTGGCAGGTGCCTGAATTTTAATTTTGTAGAGTATGTAGTGCCCTCTGGCATGTTATGTACCTTTTCGGGGATCAAGAATACTTGCCACTTTCTGCTCACCAGAGCAATCGTTAATATATGATTAACATGGTGGCCAAGCATGGTAGTTTTCAGAATGACAAGATGACCTAAGTCTTTATAGAATATGTTGTGACAAAGAACAGGAGAACTGACACAGCCTAGAGGAAAGACAGTACCTGTGAACTGCTACTGTTCCCATGTAAAAACATATGGCTTTGGTCCCCTTTACCCATGAATTTTAACAATAATTTACTGTATCAATTATAGTAACCATATCAATAATTGTATACCACAAATCCGTGATGATCTATTACATTAGCAGACACGCAGTGTGGAGGCTTCTCAGGGTACCTGACCACATATCATCCAGACACAGCATCAGCTATAGTTATGAGTACGTTCACCAATATTCTGGATCTCCTCTCCATCTAGGCACAGAAAAGGATTCCATTTCCCTGCCCTTTTCGAAATGAGGCTAAGTGTATTTGACATGCTTTGACCAGTAAAATGGCAAAGTCACATGCATCACTTCTTGGTGGTAACTGTTAGCCAGCGTGTTAGCATCTACATTTGCATCCCATTGCCATGGTGATTATCAAAGTGTTGATGTGTGTCTATTCCTGCCCCAAATAACCTGTGTTGGTCATGCCCATGTGAGCAAGAAGTAAAACTTTAGTTGTGTTAAACTACCAAGATTTTGGGGTCATGTACAACTTTAATATACACAGAGGCTGGCAAAATATGGCCCACTGCCTGTTTCGATCATACTATGTTGTTGAACCCTGGTATAACCTATGCTATCATGATAAAAAAAATGAACAAAAATACCTTAAATCTGAAATGCAGCCCCATACTGAGCATAAGTAGGAATAATTATTTTCCTAAGCCACTCAATTTTGGCATGACTTATTATGCAGCATTATTGTGGCAGTACCTAATGGATACACTATTAATTGTAGAGTTTTCTTTTATTTATTTATTTTTATTTTCGGAGACGGAGTCATGCTCTGTCGCCCAGGCTGGAGTGCAGTGGCACGATCTCGGCTCACTGCAAGCTCCGCCTCCTGGGTTCACGCCATTCTCCTGCCTCAGAGCTGGGACTACAGGCACCTGCCACCACGTCCAACTAATTATTTGTATTTTTAGTAGAGGCGGGGTTTCACCGTGTTTGCCAGGATGGTCTCCATCTCCTGACCTTGTGATCCGCCTGCCTCGGCCTCCCAAAGTGCTGGGATTACAGGTGTAAGCCGCCGTGCCCGGCCAATTCTATAGAGTTTTAACACATACAAACTTCAGGGAAGGTATTTGAAGTCACAGTGGCAATCACCCCTTGTGAGTGGTGACTGGAGGAAACCCCAAGAGGGTGGCTGAGTTGCTGTGATGTTCTGGTTCTTGATTTATGTGGTAGATACACAGGAATATTCAGTTTCTGAAAGTTCATCAGGTTTAAACAACTTGATGAACTTCTGATTTTAGTTTTCCTTATGCCAGGACGTTTTCCATCTTTTCTTTGTGTGTCAAGAAGACAGAGGAATAAACAATACCTATGTGTCTTTATATTGAATGTTTTATGAGGCATACCGTTAAGAGTGAGAGGCAATCACAGAATAGCCAGTATGAATAGTATGCCACCATTCGTATGAAATTCAAAAGGTGGATATGAATACATACATTCTGGTATATAAAAAATACCTCTAGAATGATAAATTTAATTGCCTCTAGAGAGGATAACTGAAAAGTCAGAGTAGAAATTAAATAAACTTTTAATTGAGAACTCCCCCTTTTAAAGACTGAATTTTTTACCATGTGTATATAACTGAAATTTTAAACACCAAAATTAGATTTATAATGTATATACTATACTATTAACTCTAACTTCCATTACATCTGTTTCTGATTGCTACTATTACTTAGATAACAGTGTGATAACATCCTTAATTTTGTTTCACTATTTAACATAGATTTCTGAAAATATGATTGGATCCAGAAATGGATGAGAGATTGCCTTGAAGATTAAGTGATTTAATCACAGGTATTTACATTTTATCTCTTACTTTATCTTTTTGTTATAGGTGAAATTATGTTTCATATTCTTGGACAAAATTTGCAAATTTTTAGGATGAGAACTTGTAAAACTAGAGTTCTTTGGATGATTTATGAACATTCAATTTGTATTATTACATACATATTTTAATTCATATGTGGTCCAGGCTCAAAACACTGGGCTGAAACAATCTTCCTGCCTCAGTTTCCCAAGGTTGCTTGAATAACAGGCATGTACCTCAGTACCCAGCTACAATTCTTCATTGATTTTTCGCCTTGCTATTTAAAGAGTATTATTCTAAAAATTTATTTTATATATTTAAGGTATACAATATATTTTGATATATTCATAGTGAAATTATGGAAGTCAAATAACCCAATCCATCACCTTCTGTAGTTACCTTTTGTGATAAGAGAACCTACAATCATAGCAAATTTTCAATATACAATATTATCAACTATAGTCTTCATGTTTTGGGTTGAATCTCTAGATTTATTCATTCTCACAACTGCAGATTTGTACCCTTTGACCTACATCTCATTTCCTTCCCCTCCTTCCCAGTATCCACAATTCTGTTTCTATTTATTCAACTTGCTTTAGATTCTGCATACAAATGAGATCACGCAGTACTTTTTCCCCCTATGTCTGGCTTACTTCACTTAGCATAATGTCCTCCAAGTTCATCCGCATTGTGGCAAATGGCAGCATCTCCTCTTTTAAGGCTGAATACTATTTCATTGCATTTTTCTATGTGCAATCCTAAAGGGTGATTTTTAGGATGGAGCATATGTTTTATTATCCAGCCACTTCTTAGCCTGTATTAAGAATCACAGCACATAATGACACGTACACACACAGAGCTCTACAAATTTTTGGTGTACAGTGGTTTCATCTACCTTGAACTCTATGGTTAAGGGGCTCATTTTTCTCATAGGTCATTTGGCTTCCACAGTGGGCAGTGTGAATTAATCATTCCTTTTGTCTAAATATCTTCTTTGTTCCTTTATTTGTATAGAGAAGGAAGACTTGTGTCTTTTGTCATTTCCATTTCTAAGAGTTTCCTCTCCGTTCTGCCCACTGGTCTCCTATTTTCACAATTTCTCCTGGCAGAGAAAGACACTCCAATCATTTTAGTAATCAATAGCAGATCACAAGTCTTCGTGCTTTTCCCAGTATTTTTCCAGGGGAGGAAGTTCTGCCATGTATGTGGTTACGTCCTAAGAGGTGTCATGCAATGACACAATCAAAATATATTTATAGCTATATCTATAAAACATCTAGACATAAAATATCTATATGCATACAATCAAAATATCTAGCATATGATTCACTGATTTTACTTCAAATATAAAAATTCTCCAGGTATGAATGCATTAGCATCATGGTCATTTTTGTTTAATCTTGATTAAAAATGATTGAAAAAGCCATTTGGATGAAGACACAACTCTTAGTTTTCCTTGTGTCATGTTAGTAACTTGATATATTTTACTTCAAGTTTAAGAACTTGAATTAACCATTAAATAAAGTAACTATTGGTTATTTTTTCCCTAAAACTATGAGCCTTTAATGGAAAAGATGACATTATCAATTCTCAAACATACTCTTATTTGAAGAACAATCTACTGAATGATATTACATTGCAAGTACCTAGAATCTCTTAATTCTAAGAAACTAAGTCAAGGGCAAGAATTCTGTTGTGAATATCAATTCTACCTTTGGAGAATTATCTTGTGCAAATCACTTCATATCTCAGTGTGTATTAGAAGGAATGGGCAGAAGTTCCTCCAACATTTGTGTTACCTTTGATTTTTTTCATGGTTAGAATATGGTTAATAAAGTCATGTTGTTGTGCTATTGAAAGGGATATTTGGTGGTAAGTACTTCCCTATAATAGCTTTCATGATTATGAGATGTTAACATTGCTATATGAATCTCATATCCTTAGAACAAGTTCCCTGTGTACCTAAGTCAATTGATGATACAGTTTAAGACAAAAAGAAAAGAGATCACTAAAAAGAAGTTTGGACTTATGATGAATCCAAATTGGATCTAGTGTTTCTTAGTGAAAAAACTCTAAGTCAGGAGTCTCAGAATGTAAGTCTTTTGTTCTGAGTGACATTAAAAAGTAAAGCCAATCTTATGTAAATTGAAGGAATGGAGCATGATTATTGGATGCTTATTAGGGCATCCTCTCCTGATACGATATTCTGTGTACCTTTTACTATATGAATACCCCTTGAGGCTGTCTTCCACTTGTTGGGCTGTTTCAGTATCTTGGTAATCTTTGAGATTTTCTTGTTAGCATGAACAAATTAGGATGCATCGGCCCTAAAAACAATGGTTAGAGAAGTATGTCAGAAATAGCAGCTTATGCAATTGGCAGCAGTTCTTTGGAAATCTCTCTCATACTATTCTTTGAGTCAAGTCATGGAATCAAATTATAAGTCACAATTTTCGTATACAACTTTGTCTCCTGATATGCAAAGAGACAGCGCAAAGAGACTGAAGTTCTGAAGCAATGCTGGAGGAACTATAATAGAAAGATGCTCAGGCTGGTAATTTCTATGTATTATGCATTTCTAACAGATCTTCTTCACTTAAACATATTCCTTTGGGAGCATGGTCTATTATCATGGATGTTCAGACACCCCCAACATGGAGTCTACATGGATACAAGGAAATAGTCTATTAATTAGGCTCATTAGTTGCTTTAACGAATTAACTCCCAAACTTTCAGGACTTCAAACTTACTGAGTTCTATTTCTTCCTCAAGTAAGCTGGATGTTCCTGAACTTTGGAAATCTTTCCTCCTGTGGTGTAGGGACCTGTGTTCCTTCCCACTTGTGGCTCTCTCATTCATCAACAAGATCTGAGAATCCTCTGCTTCCAGGCAACAGACAGTGGGGAAAGAACATGGAGAATGCACTGTCTCTTAAGCACCCTGGGTTGCAAGCACCACATGTATCACTTCTATTGTCATTCTGGACCTAGCGCAAGGACTACTGGGGAACACAGACTCTGGCTAGGCAGGTGCTTTCTAGGGCAACTCTATACTATTCAAGAAGAAAGCATGATTCCCACAGTTATCCCTGCCCCATCTCATGTATTAGTTAGCATTAGGAGATATGTGTTAGATCTGTCCTTTAATACCAAGTTCGCTGTTGCTTATTAAGTGGCTACCCACACATGGGTTTTTACCAAGATCGTTAAACCAGAAATTGAATTTTTGGCCGAGTCCTATCCCAGGATTGACAACCCACACTTCCCTGTTGATGACTCTTGAATGACTCCCATTACATTCATTACTAAAACAGAATGGATGCCAGAAACAAGCTGTTATTAGACAAAGCAGTCCTGGTTACATTTATTTGGAGGTAGTATTCCCCAGTAGATTATTTTTCTTTAGATTATTAACTTGAAGTTCTTGTTTAATGAGGAATAGAACAGCACTCTTTTCCAGCATCAGGAGACCTGGTACTAAATGCTTACCTCTTTTGACCTCAGTTTTCTCACCTGCAAAATGAATTTAGATAGACCAATCTCCAAAAGCTCTTCATGCTCAAAAGTCTCTACAGAGTCTAATGGAAACCTATTATGTTGCTTGTATAACTTAGGCCCTTTGAAGTTCTGTTTTCTTGTCTTGTGGTCATGCATATTGATGTGTTATCCACACCGACTATACTCATGTCTGAACGCTTTTGCCAGTGTGATCTGTCAACTTGTCACTGCTTCCTAGACCTCAGCAGCTCTGCTGTAATTTCTGATCATGCTTGAGTGTCTTCTGAAAGCACCCTTTCCCTCCATCACTTCAATATCTGGAATGTGGCCTATATGCTCAAATTCCTAATCAACTTTTTGAAGCATTAAGCCTTAGCTTATGATAACTGAGATATCTAACCTTTGAAAACATACTCCCCAGGTAGATACTACTTTCTTCTCTTTAAATCTAATTTAGTACCCATGAAACGTGATCCATTTGATGGAACCATCTGTTTTTTTTCTTCTGCCAAAGACACTCTGCACATTTTGGCAGTTTCCCTAAGTGTACTCAATAACTCATGCCAAATACAGTTGGAATGCACCATGAATCCCAACTCTGAAAACAACTGAACCAGGCAGTGTTCATCTTAAACTGACTGATGTGTGGTGAGTCAAGCAACACTGGCTTATATACCTTAAGGTGAGGTGGGGAAGGGAGACTAAGTTAACGTGATAACTTCTACCCTGTAAACTGGGGACAGTGATTTGGATTCATAGGATAGTGACAATTTGGGGATTTTTCTTCCCTGAAATCTACTCCCCAGTTTTGGGATTACAATCTCTATTCGGATAAATACCACTGTGATAATCCCTTTTATACACATGACCCTGTATATGTCTATACCCAGTTGATTGGTTCAGAAGCAACATGTAAGTATGAAGGAAGCTACATTTAGGACTCAGATTTCCAACATGGTATTTCTTAAGTCACTGTAGCTATACGAGCAACAGCTTGGGTGTTATAGGTCATGAGTCTTCCCACATAGACCAGAAAAAGAAAAACTGCATGTCTTCAATGAGAGAAGAGGCAGGGCGAGAGGGAGGATATGAGGAAGAAAAAAAAAAGAGTAGAAACGTTCAGATGAAGACAGGGTTCTGTTATTATTTGTGTACTTGTGTCTGTTTTTCCCAGAGCCCAGTCATATTTTGTTTCTTAGATTCTTAGAGGTAGAGCATTTAAAAAATAAATTCTTTTTGCTTAAGCAAGTTATGCTATTTGCAAGCTAAATTTTGACTTATACATACAAGGGAAGAAAGTAAGATTTAATATCTTTCCGATCAATACAAGACTTGGCTTGTATTGGTTAATTTCATTACTTGATTAAAGAATCTAGACTAAAGTTTGAACCATTTGGAGGTGTGATCTCATTTTAGAATCATTTACTCCACAGATGGTAGCTTTTACAGTTTATCTGTCACAGTGTCCATGCTTTCTGTATGTCCAGATTCTGAAGGGTTAATCATATAAAATATTTATACCCTTAAACCAGACTTAACATTTCATTAGATAAAATATTAGGATGCTACAGTTTTTTTCTGCTTTCATATAAACTTTAAGAGATGCTTTATAAGACTATCATAGTTCTCATTTGTATAACAGAAAAGCCAAACACAAAATATAGAAGCACAAAGCAGGTATTGAGAAGTAAGTTTAAAATAAAGCTTGGTGATTTTGAATGTCTGTATTCAATTTGTTCAGACTGTAGTGAAGAATAACAATCAAAGAGGCAGGTATCATTCCTGATTTTTATCAAAAATTCACATCCTATCACCGATAACATTTTTTAAAACTTTATAAATATCTCTTTAAAAAATTAAATGAAATATTCAGTGTCTTTGTGTCAGTGTCTAGAGAAAGTAAACTTCAAACTAGATGCAAATGTCTTACCTTTTTTTTTTTTAAATTAACTCTTGAGAGTGATTTTTAAAACATTGGTTTTATGTCTCAAAAAAAAAAAAAACATTGGTTTTATGTATGCTTTAGGAAACCTGTTATTATATTTTTCTTCTGGTGTTTGATTGAATTTGCTTTGCTTTACATTGTGGAGTCATTTTAGGGAACACGACCTTTTCCAAACCCAGGATCCCATTCACTGAGTAGGAAATGAAGAGTCCTCATCTTTTTAGATGGAGTTCTTTGTTAGAATCCTGGCTTCGGAAGTTGCTATTTTTCATAGGGCATATCCTTTAACCTCTCTGAGTCCTGTTTTGCTCATCTCTAGTATGATAATAAAGTCTGACTTAAGGGGTGATTGCAGAATTAAAGACATAGTAGACATATAGCAGGCAAGAAATAAATAGTTGCCATTGTTGTTCACGCCAATGTCCTCAGCCAAAATAGAAATTCTATTTGGCTCCCATAAAAGTTTTCATGAATGAGTTGGCTTATTCTATTCTTGACAACTCAGACCATTACTCCCTCTGCAAATGGAAGAGGGCAGAAAGATGAGGACTCTGCTTACTGCTATGATGCTGAAGAAGGTTCAACCAAAGAAGCTTCACATCATTTGTTCTCTTTGCTGAAAACCAGGTATTGGGTGGTTTTCTTTTAACAACATTCTTTGTCAGCTGGGTTGAATCCCCCAGTTGATTACGTGTATTTGACGTTCTTTTACCACACAGATATTAATAAAGAAGGAAATAATATAGAAGTAGTCACCTTCCCTCTCCCCAAAGAATAAAAGGCATAAAACCATCATATTTTCATTTGGTCAAACAATCAGAAAGTAGACAAATACATATGCAAAAAGATTTTTCTATTTTTTCTTACAGAAAGAAGAGCCATGTTAAAAAAAAAAAAAAGTACGTTTCAAATTGATGAATGAAAACAGCCTTTGAATGATGGATTAGAAAATGTATTTGTTCCATAAAAAAATACCTCACGGTAGAAAATAAATGTTCTCAATATCAAGGTTTTCAATTATTATCAAATAAACCATTTGAGTCATGTCTTTTACTATTAAAGTCAAGGAAAGCATTGGTGTCCCATTTGCTGTGATTCATAGTAAGTTTAGCAGATTCACGATGGCTGGGTTTATTCAAATTTGTAATTGAACATTCGCAATTCTCTAAATACAGTTTCTATTTCTTATCATATAAATCAGTGCAAACAAATCTCCATGATGTTTAAGGGCTTAAATATTCAAAGTGTTCATTCTGAATGTTTTAGTTTTACTATCCCTTGGAGCGTCAACCTTTATTTTGCTTACTAAGAGTATACTAGTGTAGGTGAGTTACTGGTAGGGACACAGCAAGCACTCAGAACTCTTAAATTTATTTTTATATTAGAAATATGTATTTTGGCTTTCATATTTGAAAATGTGTGTCTTCTGTTTACATAGCATATCGATTGGTTCAGTTATAATTACTTACTTGCCTATTTCAGTAAGTTCTAAACAAAAGGATGCACAAAAGTTAGATGCAACCAAAGGAGGAGAAGTATGAATGGGTTTGCATATCATTTCTCAAGCAATATGCACCAGTGACAAAACACCATGAAACTTTACTTTTTTCCAATCATTTACTGTTGCAGCTTTTATATCAGGTGCATTATTTATTTAATTTATAAAATTCAACTCAACCAAGTCACATGATGGTAGAATTCATAAAACCACTCATTTCAGCCTGGCGTGGTGGCTCACGCCTGTAATCCCAGCACTTTGGGAGGCCGAGGCGAGCAGATCATGAGGTTAGGAGATTGAGACCATCCTGGCTAATATGGTGAAACCCTGTCTCTACTAAAAATACAAAAAAAATTAGCTGGGCATGGTGGCCGGCACCTGTAGTCCCAGGTACTTGGGAGGCTAAGGCAGGAGAATGGCATGAACCTGGGAGGCAGAGCTTGTAGTGAGCTGAGATCGTGTCACTGCACTCCAGCCTGGGTGACAGAGATTCCGTCTCAAAAAACAAAACAAAACAAACAACACACACACACACACAACAACAACAAAAACCACTCATTTCATCCTTACATACCCTACTAGCTATTTCCCCAATTCATTACACTTTTTTTTTCTTTCTGGTTTTACGTGTACAATTTTAAGTCATGGTTCTTTGTTGTTTTATTTTTGAACCTAGTCTTCCTCCACAATTTAAAGAGCTTGTGGATATCAACAGGCTGAATGAAACCTTACCAGGAGTTGACTTATCTGCTATGAGTAATTCAACAATGTGTTATTAAGACAACGTGAAGGCATAAAAAGGCAAAACATTTTTCTTTCCAACTTTTATTTTAGGTTCAAAGGGTACATGTGTGGGTTTGTTACGTGGTTAAATTTCATGTTGTGGGGGTTTTGTGTACAACAATTTTGTCTGCCAGGTAAATAGCATAATACCTGATAGGTAGTTTTTCAATCTTTACTTTTCTCCCACCCTCCACCCTCAAGTAGGTCTGGTATCTATTGTTGTTCTTTTTGTCCATGTGTATTCCATGTTTATGTCCCACTTGTAAGTGAGAACATGCAGAATTTGGTTTTATGTTGCTGTGTTAATTTGCTTAGGATAATGGTTTCCAGCTGCATCCATGTTGCTGCAAAAAACATGATTCTGTCCTTTTTCATGGCTACGTAGTATTCCATGGTGTATATGTACCACATTTTCTTTATCCAGTTCACTGATATGCATGTAGACTGATTCCATGTCTTTGAGATTGTGAATAATACCACAAAGAACACACACATGGCATGTGTCTTTATGGTAGAATGACTTATAGTCTTTTGGGTATATACCCAGTAATGGGATTGCTAAGTCAAGTGGTACTTCTACCTTGAGTTCTTTGAGAAATCTCCAGACTGCTTTCCACACTGGCTGAATTAACTTACATTCCCACTAACAGTGTGTAAATGTTCTCTTTTCTCTGCAACCTGTCCAGCATCTTTCATTTTTCTGAGTTTTTACTAACAGCCATTCTGACTAGTGCAAGATGGTATCTCATTGTGGTTTTGATATGCCTTTCCATGATTGTTAGTAATATTCAGCAGGAAAGACAATTTTTGTTATGAAAGCTTTGCAAATGCATATTCTCATGACCTTTTTTTATCCTTTGCCCCATTGCATAGAGGTTGGAACATTTGAAAAATATCAAAAACACAGCAGAGACAAGTTTAGGTGGTTTCCAGGGGAGAGGCACTGAAAGTGATTGATTCCTATCAAAAGCACAAGGACAGAGTAAGTGATTCTTTCTAGTAAATGACAGTAGAGATACAGCTGAACTCTGAGAATGTAATAATGGTTATGGCAAGGAAGGCTGATGAGTTCTAGGAAAAGCACATTGCTCGTGACCGGAGCAGTGGTTCTTGACTTTTACAGGTCTGATATCAGGCCATCACCATATCAAAGAATCTAGATACCACCACAGTAGAAGCCAAATTTTTACTTTTTGTCTTTATGATTAGCCACAAAACACCTATTTATGTGTTTTTTTGTCAACGCTCAATAACGGCAACGTAAGCTCTGCCATACCTAGTTTATGTAAGTGTACTATCACCAGGTCATGCTCCACAATGACAGCATCACTGTCAAGGGACACACTGGGTCCTAAGTACTGATGTCCTAAATTCCACTTTGCTAAGGCCAACTGATCAAACAGCAAGCAAATACGAGAAAGGAGATTGAAACTGAATCACAAGAAATGTGCGTTCTATGTGCGGAAGTGGGATCCATTACAATCTGATGCACTGCACCAAAAGCATAGTGTGAAAGATTAAAAGAATAATCTAGGATTTCCTAACTAGAGAGCATTGTCTTCTCATCAGCAGTTCAAGTACAAAGAGACAGAGATAGATAAAGCAGGGACATTGGTAGCAATAAAATAGCAGTGACTAGTATCAACTATTACAGCAGGAAGCCCTAGGCATTGGGAAGCCGGCACAGAGGTTCTGGGTATGTCCTACAGTCAGTACCTTCTTGGAAACCTCTGGGAAGAAAACAGGTGATGGGATCAGGAAAGGTAGGACCCTACCAGACGGGATCAAAGACAAAAACCATCTCCTTCACTCAGAGTGACAGATTCTATCAACCGTCAGAATGCATAACAGGTAGTTCAAAGAGATTCATATCCATGAATTTCCTTTGAGTCCAAATTCACTTTTTAGTAAGATAATGCATTCCTCCATTGTATTATTTTTTTCTTGTCTATGTTTGCCAAGTAATGCCATAAAGATCTCCATTTATGAGTTTAAACATAAAGAACTGAACTCAGATGAATTCTGCTGGTCACATGGTGATGATCTAAGAACTTGGCAGGAATTGCTGTGATCGGATCTTCAGGCTGCTAGTCAGAGACACCTGTTATCACTGGAAAAAGGACTTTTCAGTCACAGCCCTTAATGTTTCCTGTCTTATGCTGGCAGAGACACCTGCACACAGAAGCTTTGTTAGTCCAATTTTGTTTTTTTTGCACAAATTTGTTATTTTGTGGAAGATTCCCAGTAAACACACACATGTGGGTGCACACACAAAAACTTGTCTACATCACTACTCATGGGAAACATTTATTTTCTCTTCATTTCTGCTCCTCTTCAGAGAAAAACGTTCATGCAGGATAAGGTACCATTGCTTGTCAATCTCTTTCTAAATTTGGAATCAGTCCAGAAAACCCAGGAGGAAGCTCAACTCAGCCACAGTTAATCTTCAGAAAATCCATCCCACGTGACTCCCCCCACACCCCCCGCCATCAGTGCTGATCTTTTCATGTATTCTTTATAAGGAATCCATTGAACTTTAATTAATATGAAAAATTCAGGTTTTCATCTGATTTAAATGTGACTGACATCATGCTGCTGCTAAAAGCGGAACAAAGTACATGCATGGTGAAAATAAAACTTAAAACCTGGTGCCTATTTTTTCACCACCAAATCATCTCTAGCACTTTCAAGAGGCAGGAGAGAAATGTACCCAGAGCATTTTCTAGGAGTCTTCATGTCCATATGTACGAACAGGGACATGCTTGAAAAATGTCTGTACACAGGCAGGAACACGATTCACTCTGTCACATCAATCAGCAATCTTTAGCTCTAAACGTTCCAGTTAAAAAGGACTAGAGTGACACAGTTAAAGGTATAGATTCCAAAGGGGTTAACGTAGTAGTAAGGAGTAAGAATTCTTTTGAAAGGAAAACACACACTCATCTGCCATTCGTACACACGCACCATCTCCTAGCATTCAGTGGATTGTTCAAAACAGGCACAAATGTGCTCCTGGAAGGCGTTAGGGTTCTGCTTGCTACAGATCAGGCTGCTCTCATGTTTATGGATTCTATTTATCCATAAGTGAAGTAGAGGATGTGTGTTCTGATGTTGAGACAGCTTTGTTACAAGGACTATCATTCTATCTTCTCCATAGAACCTAGTCTACTATCATAGCAACACATGAAAGCCTAAGGAGTGACTACGAGAGCACAATTAACACATTTTTGAAACATACAATACATTGTTAACTGTAGCTGAGTTGATAAACAACTTAAATCCACTGACTTCATCAATACCCATTCTATGCAAGAAAATGTGTTCTCTGTAAATATGTGCAAGTGTTACATATCAATATAAATAGCACATTTCTCACTGTAATAAAATATATCAATCACTGAGCTTTATCTTTTTCTGAGATAGGGTCTTGCTGGAGCGCTATGTTCGACCATAGCTCACTGCAGCCTCAAACTCCTGGGCTCAAGTAATCCTCTTGAGTAGCTCGGGCTAAAGGTATGGGCCACCATGCCTGGCTTTTTTTTTTTTTTTTTCATACAGTCAAGGTCTCACTGTGTTGCCCTTGCTGGTCTTGAACTCCTGGGCACAAACAATCCTCTCACCTAAGCCTCTCAAAGCACTGGGATTCCAGGTGTGAGTCACTGTGCTAGGCCCCTGATAAAACTTTACAGTTCTTGGTTAAAAAAAAAAAATCCTTCTCCACCATGAT